AATCATCTTAATTCATTTATGGAAACTGAAATTCTTTGAAGCTAGTATTTAATTCCTGCAAGGACCCCACTGTAGTTCACACTTCTTCCTAGGATTTAGTCCTTCAATGCCCTAACTTAAAACAGGGGCATTTGATCAGGGTTCCCTTTCTGTGGCACAGCCTGGACTGCAGTTTTTGGTCCCTGAACTGGTAAGTTTGTCAGAATCTCTGCTCAACTTCTCAGCCACTTTTGGAGTTGACAGCCTTAGGGGAAAAGTGGCCCCAAATATTACATGAATCCCTTTGGGTTTTCTTCTTTTTCCAAACCTTGGCCTCCCAATTTTTCACAACTTGTTAGTTCTCAGATGCCTTAAGGATTTTTTTAATATATGTATTTTGTCTGCTTTTCTAGTTTATACTGAGGGGAGAGTTGGTGCACGTTATTTAGTCTGCAGTACCCATGAGCCTTTCCATTTATTTTGGCCAGGTGCCTAGGTGCCTGGTATGGAACCATTTTAAACTAAACTAAACTAGCTGGATATTTTCTGAACCACTCTGATGATACAAATTTGGGCTAGAGTTTGCAAGAAGACCAGCCTGCCCTCTCCCTCCTTTTCTTTGTTCACTCCAAGGCAGTTTTCCCCTGGCTGAGGGGAATGGATTTAGTTCTGGTTCACTCTCTCCTGAGGGTACCTCTCTTTAGAATCCGAAATTCAGTTGGTGAGGGGGGATCTCCAATTAACATGCCTCACCTCTTTCAACAAGATCAGCAAATATCAGCAAAGGCACAAGTGGCTTCTTGTACTCAGGTTCTGTCTGGATTTTTAGATTTCAGCATGCTACTTCCTTACTATCTTCGTATCTCTTACATGTTTTTAAATGATAGATCTTTTTCTTTTTATATTTTATTCATCATTCTAGTTGTTTTCAGTATTAAGTCTAATTTCATAAAGTAAGACAATACTACACCACTCTGCACTATTTCTTTATATATGAAAAAGGGAGAATAAATGTACCCCTGATTACATCAGAGTATCAACTGAAATAATTATGCTTTGAAAGTGATGAGGCTCCAGATAGGTATTATTGTCATTTTCTCCCCACTCATCTGTCCATACTCAGTGTGCTCTGTGGATTCCTCTTATTCTACCAGGCTCTTAAATCTTGGTCCCCTGTTGTCCACTCTCAACCCACTGTTTTTCTTAATGTTTAGAGTCTTTCTTAGTGGTCTCATCCCTTCCCAAGTCTTAGTATTTCTCTGCTTCACTTCTATCTCCTGAGCTATACACCCATATATCCTACTTATCCTACCAGACTCATCACACACATGCCCATGCCAACATCTCTTCTTGTGTCCCTGGCCTCATTGGTGGGCACTGCTTTTCATCCATTGTGCAGTTGTCCAGGCTAGAAACGTGTTCATCAGCCTGAATTCTTTCCGTCCTCACCCCACACATCCATTCAGTCGCCAGATTCTGAATTACACTTCCTAAACTTTCCTTAAACTTTCCCTTTTCTGTTAATCTTCCTGTTCGGTCTTAGTCTCCAGTTTCTCATCTCCCAATCTATCCTCCTTACCATCGGCCAGAGTGATGTTTCTAAAATGCACCTCTGATTCTATCACTGCCCTGCTTAAAGTCCTTCAGCAGCTTCCCAGTGTTCCGAAGATAAACTCCTTTAACATTGATCACAAGGTTTTTCATGACTTGACTCTGCCTGGTTCTCCATCCTCCATTCTCTTAATTTTTTCCATTTCACAATATACCTTATTTATTCCAAACTGTCTGTATCTCCATTCCTGGGCAGATCACAGTATTATCTCTGTCTGGGTGAGTTAGGGAAATCATATTTGACTTACTCCATCTTTAGACTGCTTTCTTACTTGTTTTGACTGATAGCTGATACTTTGCCCTTCGCATTAGGCCTGTTCCCTTGCTCCCTTGTTCCAAAAGGGTCGGCTCTCGGGCTTGAGCATCACAGAGCAGAGGGGGATTGTGACCCCCTTTTTTCTAATCATCGTATTCCTAATAATGTGACTTAAAAGAGCACTAGTTTTTTAGCAGCCATATTGTAAGTTCTTTTTCACGCAAGCAAGCTGTTAAGCCTTGTCTCTCTCACACTGTGTTTGCATGGTAGGTTTCCTGTATCTTATCACAGAAGCTAAACTGACATTTGAACGAACATTAGAGTTTGCTAAACTTCATCTTGTTTGCTGCAATCCTTGGTCCAGTCTGTTGAGCAGTAATTTTAGCCTGATTCAAAATCTTACAACGTAAAGTAAATGAAATCCTCTTTCATCATACAGTTAGAGGGCGGAACTGATAGGCCCAGAGATGGTTAACACCAACTAGGAGCAGCACCACCAGAACCAAAGCCCAGGGCTTCTGATCCTTATCCCCATGTTTTTTCTGATATGGCACAAGAATTCCCATTCCTGAATGGGAATCCAACCACTGGGGCATACTTCTACCTTCTAAAAAAATTCCATTAAAGCCATCAGATTTTAAATGGTATCAATTCCTTTTTCCAAGAGAAGGTATAATAAAAAAGTACTACTCTGAACAGCTGGAAACCTCGATTTCTCCATTACTGACAGACTCCTGCCACTTCAAAGAGCTGTTCTCCCAAAACTGCCATGGGTAGGGCTCAGTGGGAGAGTCTGATGCTTTCCTGTGAAGCTTTGCATCTTATCTTCCTCACCTCCCTCTTGTCTGCCCCTCTATTTTAAGATATCTGTTTTAGAGACAAAATGAAACTTCACTACATTATAATTAGAGTTGAACTTTAAAAAGGCAAAGTAGTTTAACTTGTCACAAGAGACAGGTTCTTTGTTATGGGGCTTAAGAGGAATTTTTTGAAGCTGTATTTCTTAGCCGTTTCATATTTCATTGGGGTAAAAATAAAGATTGGCTAATTAATTATAAATCAACAGAGCTTCAGTACACCCTCCAGTAATTGCTTTCAGGTAGATTAAAAATTCATTATATGAAAGTTGATCCTTTCAGGAAGACGAAGAGAGTCAGCTGTGATCTTGAAAAATACCATGGACTAAAGGCTTCTTTCCTTCTCTGTTGAGTGTCTCCGGTCTTTGGACTTCAAGCCTCTTTCTCCACACCTTGCCAGGGTTCTTTCTGAAACCATATGTGACCTGTGCCTTTTTTACTCAGAACTATTGTGGTTATAGTCTACAGAAATAAATCATTATTAGAGTACCAAAAAAGGAGGAATTTACTATCAGAAAATTGGAACATCTAACAGCCATGCCTCAGGGACATACTGAATGTACGTCCTGAGCATTGTGGAGCAGCCTGAAGTTTGGTCCCTGAGCTTTCACATCTGGTCCTCTCTGTGACTCACCCCGTTTGTCTTTACAGGTGAGCGAGCACCTGTGTCTCTCTAGGCCCCACCATGAGAAATACGACTCCCCAGAGCTTCTAAAAATACTGCAGCGCCAGCCACAAAGCAGTGATTTTTCTCTCTGTTCCTTCTCTCTCACACAGCTGTTAAGAACATGGCAAATTCTCTCTCCAGTCTTCATCGTTTAGTTTAAACATGGCCTTCCGTGGGTCCTCCCCACCAGAGTGGATGATTCCCAGCAAGCTTCATGCCTGCCTCTGTTACAGCATTTGTCCCACTGTGTGCTGGGCATCTAGCTCCTCTGTGAGACTAGAAGCACCCTGAGAGGGGGATGTGTTCTTTTCTCTTTCTATTCCCAGCTCCACAGATACGTGTTAAAGAAGTTCATGAGTATAAATGAATGAATGCACCACTGGCCATATACTCCCTCTAAATTCACCTTTGAAATATTCCTGCCTTTGGGTGTACAGTAACAGTCCTTTTGGACTTTTGAACTCACTGCTTACCTTCGTCTAGCTTCTCCAGTCCAGGCAATGGCTACCCTTCCTCCTCCCCACCCTTCAACCCACACAGGGCTTGAAGGTGTACTGTGAGAAGTGGGCACTGCAGTGGAAAGGGCCTGGGGTTTGGAGTGAAGCTCTACCACTTTCTATCTCTGAGACTTTGGGCAAGTCACTCTGAGTCTGAATTTCCTCATCTGAAGAGGAGATAGATAACACCTATCCTCCTCAGTGCTGTTCTGAGATGACATATATAAAACAACACAGTGCCAGGAATGCAGTAGGCTCAGAAGAAATTCTCCTTTCCCTTCCTTTTGCTGTATGCATGTTTGTGGTTTATGTATGTGTATATGTATTTGTGACTGGATGTCCATATGTGTTTGTTTTGGTGTATAGAGGGGATGGAGTTGGAGGGAGGAATGATCTGAATGACATGATCTGAATCGGCTGTCTTTGTGTGCTTAAAAATAATTCCCTAGACCTCATCCACCTGGGGACACAAAAGAGGTCACATTGATGGTAGTGCCTAAAATGCTACCACTTCCTGCCCCATCTGTGTGATTCAGGACCTCAGCCTGTTAAATGCCACTCTCAGATGTTTCTGGGAATCCTCAGAGAGTTTGCACTAAAGAAAAGACTTCTCAGTTCCTTACTGATGTGTGCATTTTATGAAGTCACATTAGAGGAGAGCCTCACTGCAGCCAGGGATGGTGCCTTTCATCCATCCTCCCTTACCCACTTCGGTCCCTGCTAAGGGCATTGTCTCCTGGTGCTCCTATGGTTTCCAATCCTTGGGGTGACGACACAGCATACTTGGGAATCTTCCCTGACCCAGAATTGTGCAGTGTTCTTCTGCAGAATGCTTCCCCTAACTCAGTCACCCTGGTATTTTCCCTCCATCTGCCCCAACCCAGTCTCACTGTGTCCATAAGCAAATGTGTGCAGCCTTTCTTCATACAAAAGACTATAAGTATGATGGGGTTTGGGGAAGAAGTTAGTTGGGGTGGGAGTTAGACATTCTGGTCCCTCTTCACAGAGATCTCTCTTGGGCACTAGCAAAGTTCCTAAGCTGGTTAAGCCTCTGGATTGATTCTCTGTCTTCTTAGGAATAGTGAAGCTTGTCTCCTGCCCTTGTTCATTACCCAATGTCTTTGCACTCACAGGGAGGCATCTGTAACATCGCTGACCAGAAAGAGGTACATCCTGAGGTTCCCAGTGCTGGAGACACTGATGCTAGATGACAACAAACTCTCCAACCCCAATTGTTTTGCTAGCCTGGCCGGGCTCAGGAGGTAAAGCTACAAGCCTCTCTCCACAGGGCCCTCTATATCCCCCAGCCTTGCTCACACCTTGAGTGCTGCTCTGGAAGCCAAAAGGCCTGGGTTTAAATTCGAGCTCCACCACTTATCTGCTGTGTGGCCATGAGTAAGTCATTTCTTCCCTCTGAGCTTTAGCTCAAACCATGAAAGTGGGCGTCAGTAAGGATATTTCTGATCATGTGACTGGATTAGAAGTAGCAAAGAGAAAGGATAGAAGGAGATACTATCAGAGATGGGATCCTGACCGTGAGAGAGGAAACAGGAAAAAAAAAAAAAGAATCAGAATCAGAAAGGTAAGTTAAACTCTGAGTTCTACGTATAGTGGGCCCTCTGTATCTGTAGGTTTTGCATCCACATATTCAACCAGATACGGAGGGATGACTATATTTCGTTGAAGTAATGAAATGCTGGCATTCAAATGTTTTAGATCCCTGGAAAATTTACTTTGGATTCAGCTACCATTTACTGAACACTGCTTTGTGCCAGGTCATCTGTATATTGTCTCATTCAATCTTTGCAAGAACCTTGAAAGGTTAATAAATACTATCCCCATTTTAGAGATAGGGATATTGAGGCCCAGAGAGGGTAAGTCACTGACTCAAGGTCACACAAGAGTAGTAAGTGTCTAAGCTTGATTCCATGTTTCCCTAAAGTTGCTTAGTAAGTGTCCCTGAGGTATCATCATTGCAGTGATTCTCTATTCACTTTCCTTAATTGAAGACTGAAGAAGTTAAGCCTGGACCAAAACAGGATTTCCCGGATCCCGTACCTACAGCAGATTCAGCTCCGAGATGGGTCTGGAGACTGGGTTGGAGGCAGGGCAAGTCCCCGGAAAGAGCCCCAGTCCATGCTGCAGCCCAAGTCATGGATATTTGAGGCCTCCGATGACCAACCGGATTATACTATACTGCCAATGAAAAAGGATGTTGACCGGACAGGTTAGTGATGCCCCTTGTTGCACAGACTCTAACCCTATGGTGTGAGTAAACTTCTGAGAGTTTATTCTGAAAGTCTGTAGCTCCCTGGGGAGCTGCTGCTCTTAAACTGCTGGGCCTGGGAGAGTACGACCTCAAACATGAGCTGTTTCAGTGATTTCCTAACTTATTCTGTCAGTCAAGATGCTTTTAAAATCCAGTTATGAGTGGATGTTTTGGGGGTTTTTTTTATCTCAAATAATAAGAAAATCAGAAGTAAGGCTTTTCAGAGATGGATGGTTCTGGGGTGCATTGATGTTCTCAGGGACTCAGGTTCTTTCCATCCTTGGCCTGCCTCCTTATCCTTCTTGCTTGTTCTTCTAGGCTGGTTCCCTTTGAGGTCTCAAGATAGCTACCACAGTCCCAAAAATCACATCCAGATGGCAACATTCAGGGGCAGAAAATGAAAGAAAGGTCACCTTTATTATAAACCAAAATCCCTTTAATACATGAGTGTATATCTGGATTACATATTCTGCTCCACTAATCTAGTTCTCTATTACTGTGCCAATATCACATTGTTTTTAACATTTATTTTAATAAAATTGAAGAATAATTTACTTAGAGCAAAATTCAGAAATCTTGTGTAAAGCTTGAATTTTTACATATATACTTTTAACTGTCACCTGTATTACAATATAGAACATTTTCAGCAGCCCATGTGGTTCCCTCTCAATCAGTACCTCCTCCAAGAATAACCGCCATTCTGACTTCCATTACCACAGATGAGTTTTGCCTGAATTGAAATACATTTATCACTCAATATTATGTCTGTGGGGTTCATTCATGTTGTTGCATGTAACAGTGATTCACTCTTTTCCATTTCTCTTACTTATCCCATTTATACCACAATTTATTTACCCTTCTTACTGTTGATAGGCATTTTGGTTATTTGTTTTGGGGCTATTATGGATAAAGCTATTATGAACATTTTTTTACACATCTTTTGGTGGACATAAGGACTGCTTTCTGTTGAGTATATACCAGGAGTGAAATTGCTGAGTTACAGAGTATAAAAGTTTATTTAGCAGTAATGGATACTGCCAAATACTTTTTCAGTGTGGTTGTACCAATTTTCAATCCCATATTGATGTAAGAGATTTCCAGTTAATCCATATCCTTACAAATGCTTGGTGACAGCAGTCTTTTTCATTTTACTGGTTTGGGTGGATATGTAGTGGTATCTCATTGTGGTTTTGATTTGCTTTTCTCAAGTAACTAAGTTGAGTACCTTTTCATACGTTTGTAAAGGTCACGTTGATATCCTCTTTTGGAAGTGCCTGTTGCCTTTTGCCTATGTTTAAATTGGGTTGTGTGTCTTTTTCTTGTTGATTTGAGTCCTTTATCCTGGTTACAAGTTCTTTGTAGATCCATATATCACAAACATCTTTTTTCAGTCTGTGGCTTGCTTTTTCATATTAACGGTGAATTTAACAGACGTTCTTAATTTTAATGATGTCCAAATTATCAGTCTTCATGGTTAGTGCTTTCTATTTCCTGATCAAGAATTGTTGGTCTCTCTCAAGCCATAAAGATATTTTAAAATAGTTTTCTTCTAGAAGCTTGATTATTTTAGTTTTTATATTTGGTCTATGACCTATCTAGAATTAATTTTTGTATGTGATATGAGGTAGAGTCAAAGTTTACTTTTTTATATGGATACTTAGTTGACCCAGTACCATTTGTTGAAAAGACTATATCCTTTCTCCACTAAGTTGTTGAGGAGGCATTGTGGTAAGGCAGCTGACAGTGTATGTGTCTAAATTACTGTAGGTTTATAACAAGTTTTGACAACTGATAGTGACGTTCTCCAGCTATGTTGATCTTCAAAATTGCTACAGGTATTATAAGGCCTTTGCATTTCTATGCAAATTTTAGCATCTGCTTGTCAACTTCCACACAAAATCCTGCTGAAATTTTGATTGGAACTCATTGGAACTATAGACCAATTTGGAGAGTACTGAATCTTTTACAATATTGAGTTTTCAGATTGATTAAAATAATATATCCCACCATTCTTTTAGGTCTTTTAAAATTCTTCTCAGCAAAGTTTTGTAGTCTAAAATGATGAGGTTGTGCATAATTTTCATCAAATTTATTCTTAGGTATTTGATCTTTTTATGCTGTTGTCAGTGGTATTGCTTTTTTATGTTTCATTTCCACATGTTTGTTGCTAGTGTATAGAAATATTAAACATGTATCCAGTAACCTTTCTAAATTGACTTATCATTTTTAGTCATTTGCAGGTTCTTTTGGATTATCTATGTTCATGATCATGACATTTATAGATAATGACCATTTCATTTCTTCTTTACCAGTCTTATACTTCTTCTGCTTTTTAATTTCTTTATTTCACTGGCTAAGACTTCCAGTACAATGTTGAGAGACGTGGTGATAGTGGACATCCTTGTGTGTTCCCAATTTCAGGGGGAAGCTGTTCAGTATTTTCAGTATTTCAGAATTATGAGTTAGCTGTAGATATTTTTATAAATGCCTTTTATCAGATTAAAAAAATTTCTTTGTATTCCTAGTTTGCTAAGAGTTTTTATTATGCAGAAGTATTGAATTTTGTCAAATACTTTTTCTGCATCTATTGCGATGATTGTGTGATTTTCTTCTTTATTGATGTGGTTCACTGATTTTTTAAGTTCAGTTAAATTTTTTTCAAGTGATGAGAACTCTCAGGATCCACTCTCCTAGCTACTTTGAAATATGCAATACAGTATTATTAACTATAATCACCATGCTATATGCATTACATTCCTGTACATAACTAGAAGTTTGTACCTTTTGACACCTTCAGCCATTTCACCACCCCCCAACCCCTGCCTCAGGCAGCCACCAATCTGTTCTGTTCCTGAGAGCTTGACTTTTTTATTTTGATTTGGATTAGTTTTTGTTTTTGTTTTTTCTTTAGATTCCACATATAAGGGAGATCATTTGGTATTTATCTTTTTTCTTTCTGACTTATTTCGCTTGTTTTTATTGAAGTATAGTCAGTTACAATGTGTCAATTTCTCATGTACAGCATAATGTCCCAGTAATGCATATATGTACATATATTTGTTTTCATATTCTTTTTCATTAAAGATTATTACAAAATACTGAATATATAGTTCCCTGTGTGACTTATTTCACTATTTCATTTAACACTAATACCTTCAAGGTCTACCCATGTTGTTGTAAATGACAAGATTTCATTCTTTTTTATGACCGAATAATTTATATATGTGTGTGTGTGTATACATTTATATAAAATCGCATTTGCTTCATCCATTCGTCCAGCAGTGGACATTTGGGTTGTTTCCATGTCTTGGCTATTGTAAATGATGCTGCAATAAACATGGGGGTGCATTTTCATTTTCTTTGGATAAATACCCAGAAGTGGAATTTCTGAATGATACTATAGATTTATTTTCAATTTAAAAAACAATTAGGGGGAGGTAATTAGGTTTATTCATTTATTTATTTATTTTTAATGGAAGTACGGAGGATTGAACCCTGGACCTCGTGCATGCTAAGCACTCACTCTACTACTGAGCTATACCCACCCCCTATTTTCAATTTTTGATGAACCTCCATACTGTTTTTTCACAGTGTCTGCACCAATTTACATTTCTGCCAACAGTGTGCAATGGTTCCCTTTTCTCTACATCTTTCCAAACACTTGCTGTTTCTTTTCTTTTTGATAATACCCCTTCTAACAGATGTGAGCTGGCATCTTATTGTGATTTTGATTTGCTTTTCCTTGATGATTGGTGATGTTGATCATCTTTTCAAGCACCTGTTCGCCATTTGCATGTCTTCTTTGGAAAGATGTCTATCCAGATCCTCTTCATTATTATTTTTTTTTGCCATTGAGTTTTATGAGTTTTTTTAAAATGTATTTTGGATATTATAACCCCTTGTCTAGATGTAGAATTTGAAAATATTTTCTCCATTCAGTAGGTTTTCTTTTCATTTTGTTGTTTCCTTTGCTGTGCAGAAGCTTTTTACTCTGATACAATCCCACTTATTTATTTTACATCGATTTTTTCCCCTTTATTTATTTAATTTTTTTATTGAAGTATAGTTGATTTACAATGTTTCAGGTGTACAGCAAAATGACTCAGTTTTATATATAGTGTATATATATGCTTTTTCAGATTCCTTTCCATTATAGGTTATTATAAGATATTGAATATAGTACAAGATATTAAATATAGTATAATACAGTAGGTCCTTGTTGTTTATCTATTTTATATATAGTAGTGTGTATCTGTTAGTCCCAAATCCCTCCTACCTTTTCTTCTTTGGTAACCATAAGTTTATTTTCTATGTCTGTGAGTCTGTTTTCTGTTTTGTAAATAAGTTCCTGGGTATCAATTTTTTAGATTCCACATATAAGTGATATCATATGGTATTTGTCTTTCTCTGACTTACTTCACTTAGTATGATAATCTCTAGGTCCATCCATGTTGTTACAAATGGCATTATTTCATTTTTATGGCTGAGTAATGTTTCATTGTATCTGATACTACATCTTCTTTATCCATTCATCTGTTGGTGGACATTTAGGTTGCTTCCATGTCTTGGCTCTTGTAAATAGTGCTGCTATGAACAGTAGGGTACATGCATCTTTTTGAATTAGAGCTTTCATCTTTTCCAAATACATGTCCAAGAGTGGAATTGTTGGATCATATGGTAGTTCTATTTTTAGTTTTTTAAGGAACCTTCATACTGTTCTCCATAGTGGCTGCACCAATTTACATTCCCACCAACAGTGTAGGAGGATTCTCTTTTCTCCACACCCTCTCCAGCATTTATTATTTGTAGACTTTTGATGCTGGCCATTCTCATCAGTATGAGGTGATACCTCATGATGGTTTTGATTTGCATTCCTCTAATAATTAGTGATATTGAGCATCTTTTCATGTGCCTTTTGATCATCCATATGTCTTCTTTGGAGACAAGTCTGTTTAGGT